AGCTCAGCGCTACCGTGTACGCCAAAGGCGTGGCTTGAATTCAAAACGGAAGTTCATGCAATACACATCGCTTGACCACGATCATGTGTACACTCTGACTCTTCAATTGATCTGATGATTTTGACCACTGAATTCAGCCCATCAATTCCACGACCCAAGGCACCAGCGGTGGATTGCGTTGAAGAAGCCAAAGCAGCTGCGAAAAGGGATAGCTGCCCAACCTTGAAGCGCATAGCCAGTGCTCGGGTGGAAAGCGTTGATGAACCACTGTTCAAGGCTTTGAGCAGCTGTGAGTTGACTCTGGATTTTCCAATTGAGGAACTCAAGCTGGATGATGACGGTTTCATGTACCCTTGTTTTCCTCCTCGGGGTCAATTGGAAGTTCTGGCAGCAAAGGGGTATTTCCACAGAGTGCTTGGTCTACCTGTCGCCTACTCGGAATATGTACTACCTAATTTTTGGATTAACTATCAGGGCCTTGTATCCTGAACATGAGATCTTCAGTCAGGAGCAAGACTGGGTGCATCTGATACCCTTCTATTTGCATGGGGACGGTGGACGCACATACAAGACGGATGCCATGATCCTTACGATGTTCAGTGCCTTCGGAGGGCACTGCCATGAATCCAGTCAAGCTGCAGCCAGTGCCAGGAAAGGGCCCTTCCGCGCCCCCATTCGTCCGTCGACCATGGCATCAGCTTTGATGCGGGTGTGAACTTGAGGGGGAATACTCTGACTTGCCGGTTCCTATTCACAGCTATGAAGTGCGAGTTCTACAAAAAAAAGTTCCATAGGTTCAAGTCCCTTCTGGACCAGTGGGGTCAGCTTTTGGGATCTCTCTTTACTGATGGGTTTGCTCATGGTGGTGAGGTCTGGAAAGTGGCAGTGTTGGGCATCACTGGGGATGCCCTTTCTTACGTGAAGCCGGAATGCACAACAGGTCGTTCTCAAACGTGAGGAAATCTGACCGATCTCGAGCAGCGTTGCCCGGTGTATGCTGGTTGTGCTCAGCTGGAAAGACAGGGGGGCCTCCATTTGAGGACACAAGGGTCCATGCGAGATGGACAGAGACAACTGGTCCAAACAATGCTCTTCCGTGGGATGAACCGTCTCCTCTGCTTGAACACTTGCCGGTCAATGATTCTGATCTTGCAAGTGTTTTCCGCCCTGACCTATTTCACGTGTTTCATGCAGGGCTGGGGAAGGACTTCACAGCATCTGCAACTGTATATATATATATATAGCCAAGGCGCTTTACAAGCAGAGCAAAACTTCAGAATGCATTCGACGACGTCAATGAGGCATTGAAAGGGTTTTTGCAGACTACGAAGCAAAGTCTTCACTTTGCCCACCTTCCTCTGGATAACCTTGGCTACTATAGTTCTCGTACTTTCCCAAAGGGTCATTGGTCCAAGAACATGGACACAGCCACAGTATCCAAGTTTGTTGAACATGTGTATGGAACGTGCAACGGAAGTTTCTCAGGATTCGATTCTTAGCCTGGAAGCATGTGGAGCAATCCATCATTTTAGCATCTTTCTTTCTGACTGAAAGTGAAGCTTGGCAGATCTCTGCTGGGCATGCTTTCCTCTCTTGCTACACTGCGGTCGCCAAGAAAGCCTTTGATGGTGGATATTGCTTGTGTGCTCTAAAGCCGGTCCTTCACCTTTTTGCCCACACTGTTTTTGGGGCCTTGCAGCCTTGCAGCAGTTCAAAGCTTCCTCCGGTTGCGTCATCAACCCCATCGCGGAAAGTACATTCATGGCAGAAGATCTGGTGGGAAGGCCGTCTTAGCCGACGCGTGTCGGCAAAGACACATGGAACGAAGATCGTTGCTGGACATCTAGAAAAAGAGCGTGTGGTTGCAGGTGTTTGGGCATTCATGTTTGGATCTTAAGTGGAGTGCTCATGTTGGTGATGTTTCTGAGCGTTTCTGAGCCATGTGGAACGACCACTTTTTTCGAAACGGCCACTTCTCAAATTAAGGTCGTCTTCGCCTGTTTTAAAGCAGGTGTTTGAGTACACAGGGTAGGATCTTCCATAGCCGCTGCTTTGGCCAAAGCCTCGTCTTCATCTGCCCGTGCTTTTCGTAGTTTAGCAGCTTTCGCGGATTCTTCACCTTCACCAGCCAGAATATCAGCAAAGAGTGCTTGAACCTTTCCGGCCTTCTTTTGCTGTTTCATCCATTCTTCCGAACGCACTTTCACCTGGTGTAGGCCGCAGACCTTCCACACAGCGAAGTTCTCAGCTCTAAGCTGATCTTCGACACCCAAGAGTTCCTTGGCAAAGCTCTCACGGAGCTTGGGATCTGCTAAGCTCGTCCGCCAAAGCGCCGCGCAAACCCAGCCTCCAATGTGGTGAGGACCCAGAGTGGCCATCGCACCCTTAAAGGCTGCCGCCAGTTTCAAACGCAGCCGAGGACCTAAAGCCGATGAAGGTGCCAAAGCAGCTTCCAAGACTCTGGCCGTTCGAGACTCCTTTGCTAAGGCCACCAGAAGATCTGAACTGAGCATCTTCGAAAGCCCCGAAGTCACCGGAGCCACCGTCTCGGCCGGGAAGCGCAACAACACCGCCAGGAGCATCGCGCCACCCGCTGGCAGCCGCCTCAAGCGGTTCGGCTCCTCGGACCGCTCTGGCTTGGGCGCCTGGGGCGACTTCTTGGCCTTCTTGGACTTCTTGGGATTGGACTTCTCGGTTTTTGGTGCTGCACTTGTCGGAGCCTCCAGGAGGTCCGGGACCTCTAGAGAAGTCAAAGATAGGATAGACGACCAGGTGCGATGATACTCCGAGGAGGCTTGGAGGCCCAAGGCGCGGAAGACACCTCCGGCAGCTTGTTTGAGCCCCGATCGCAGACGCAAGGAGGCTTCCAGGAACTTCAGCACCACCATGTGCTGTGCTGATTGCGATCCAGTACCCAGGCAAGCAACGAAATCCAGTTCACTCAAAGCTAATTGGAGTTGTGGGCCTTCTCGCAAGGCATCTGCGACTTTCTGCGAGAGAAACGGGCCAAACTCATTCGATCCAGTGGCCAGATCAGACAAACGGGTTCGAAAGTAGCGCGAGAAGAGCTCTGCAAACAGCTCTGCCCCTGCTGCTTCCAGCACAGCTTCCAAGACTCGCGAGCCTGCTGCGGATGCGGTGAGCGCTTCGCAGCGTTCCATAGACGGGAGTCCCTTCGTTGCTCCCACCACAGCCGCACAGGCCTCAGAGAGGAGAGCACGATCATTGCAATCGCGCAAGAGGCGTAAGAGGAGCTGAATCACTGGGCTGGCATGAGAGTTGAGACATAGATGGTAATCTTGTCTGATGAGCTTGATGAGACTTGCAGCTGATTGACGTCGACATTCGGCGATCTCGGGTGCCACTTCATGTTTGGTTTGTGGCAACAAGCCAGCTCGCGCGGCCAACTTTTCTTTGCCTTCCTCATGTGCATAGCCACCAAGTGCCATGAGCAATTGCCGAAGGACATGTGCAGAGCTTGCATTCTTCACCAAGGAAGGCCAAAGGCCTTCATTGAGCTTCGTGCAGGCTGACACTACTGGCTCAACAGGAGGCTTTGTCTCCTGTCCCAAGCGTTCCGCCCAGGATCTCAGGGCCGTCTCTAAGACGTGCGAAGCATATTGGTTGGTGGCCAGGTCTTCCAAGTCCTCCAAAAGCATTGGACAAATCAACGCAAAGGACTCTGTCGTGGCTTTCTTGATGAGCTTCTCTAAGGGCTTGGAACCTCGTTGATCCTTCGCGATCGCCCTCAAGCGATCCACTGAGGAGCTGATCTCTTCCAAGGCGCGCGTGGACAACAAGGCCTCCTCACTTGGACCAAGGCCATCCACCTTGCAACAGGAGCGGATGTAATCCACCATCTCCACCAGTGGGCGACGGTGTTCGCCACCTGAGGGACATGAGATTGTTGGGAGCCTCTAAGCCACGAGATACTGTGATATCCAAAAGGATTGCACAAAGAGTCAGGTGCTTGATAGATTTAGAAGCCATTATCCCATGCCAGCTGGCAAAGTATGGCTGTAGTCCTAGAGGTTAAGTTTGTATACTTCTTTGAGGTGGGGCAGAAACTCTTGCTGCCCAACCCAAAAGAATGTCACGGCTTCAACATGATTGTCCCTAAGTAGCCTTGCCAGGAAGCAAAGCCTCAAGCACAAGCTCAGGGTGCCCAAGAACAAACAACGGGTTGAAGCAAGGGGTCATTTCTAGGAGCACGATCACAAAAACAACACGTGCAAAGGTCGTAGGTTCCAGCTCGCGTTGCTCGCGTTGCTTGCCTTGCTCACGGTGCTTGCCTTGCTTGCCATGCTTTCCTTGCTTGGCTTGCTCAAGGTACTTGCCTCGCTTGCCTGGCTTGCCAGTGCCATTCTTTGAGTTGGTAGCATTGCGAGTGCCTGAGCAATAAATCGTGCACAAGGTCACAAGGATGTAAATTCTGAAGACAAATAACACAACCCCCCTGTGTTTATAAATAGCAACTCCAGATCCCTTTGTTGGTCTATCATTTTGCAGGCCTCCTAGGGGCAAGTAAGCTGGCGTGAGATTCAAGTCACCTTCTTTCTTGGGAGATTTGCTGAAGCCTTTGCGTGTGGCTTTAGCAGAGGAGGTCTTACGGGGCTGCCACCGCGCCATCGCAAGAGGGCATCTACCAACAAAGCCAGTGCGGCGTTGAAGAAGTCTAAATGATCTTATTCAACTGCCAAGCCCGATCTCACTTTAAATACAAAAAACGAGCAGTGCGATGTGCACTCTGACCGGTTTTTTAGTGTTTTTGCCAGTCTTTGGCAAAAGCTTGAAAACTGGATGCCAAACAGTGATGCAGCTGCTTCTCCAAGACTCCGCTTTGTCCCTCAAGATGATTCAACAAATTCAAATTTGAAAGGCCCTTTATTCTCAGACATCACTGGCCTTCGGACCCTTCGCGTTCTCAACACATGCGCACAAGCGGCACAGGCAGACGAGTTCCACTGCTTTTTGCCGCAACTGCTTGGTCGCAACTGCTCTCAGGGCTCTCCCGGCTCAGCCGGTTCTGCCAGGCAGAAAGGCACGCATGCACCATTTTCATTGAAACCTGTAGGCGCAGCGTGAGTTAGCACTTGCTGCAATGGTTGGATTGTGAAGATTAGAAATGGAAATGAGAACAAGGAATACAACACCTTGCACCAGAAGATATCTTCTTGAAAATGCCGGTAGGCAGTGACCTCGTAAGCTCCTCTGGTCCCCATCAAAGTTTTGGAATTCAAAAGCAGAAGGACGAACAAGGAGATGATGAAGCAGGCCACATCATATTTCAACAAACTGCTAATCCGGCCACCTCGCACTTCGATCTTCAGTCTGGTCGATGCCTTCGCATTCAAATCGGGATTTCCATCCTTTTCTTGCTGCTGCCGGTCGTAGGCTTCTCTTTTGAGCTCATTCTCACGCTGGCGGCGTTCCTGTGCGAAGGTCAAGCAAAAGAAAGCCACCCAAACAAGCATGATGCTCCCCAGGTAGTCCGCCAGCTCACCCGCCAAGGAGGACACCCTCCCAGGACCTCGTTCTGCGACACAAGCGCTCAACTCGGTCTCATGCCAGTTGAAGCAACCGAAGTAAATGGCAGCGCCTTGGCCCATACTCACTAAGCCTCCGGTCAGGAACTGAGTGCCCTTGCAGAGCAAAATGAAGTTGATGAGTTGGAACTCATCCGGTGGTCCTGGGTGTAAAATGAAGGCCAGGATCATGGAAAGGACACTCACCCGGAAGCCAGCATTTGGAATGAGCATGGTCATAGTGAGAGCCAAATAAATTGGATCTCGAAGCTTGCCGAAAATGGAACGGTCATATGGCAGGTAGTGATGCAAAATCTTTTTCCGCACAAAGGCATAACACGACCAGGTACTGACCCTCTCTGGCTCAGTCTGGGCCTCTTGTGAGTGTAACCAGGCCAGCTCAACATTCAGCTCAATCTCCTTCTCCAAATCTTCCCACAAAGTATCTATCGCAGAGGCTTGCAAGGACTTGACACAGTCCCACATATGTGGATCTGCAGACATCCTTTCCTTCATGACTTTCTTCAAATTTCCCATGAGCTGCGCTCGAAGGGGTGCAGAAGTTTGCAAGAGTTGTCTCTTTGCCACCTCTTTCAATAAGGCCGTGTTCTTGGTTTGTTGACTCAACTTGCTTTCATATCGCTGTATTTTGTTAGCAATTCGCTTGTCGAACTTGGTACCCAAGGAGTTGGCCTTTGGACTGGTTGTCGTCCCATGAGCCTGTACTAATGTTCGGGTGGCTAACGCCAAGTGCCGAGTCTTCTTCACCAGGCGGTGCTTCATCTCGGCCCAAAAGAATTTCTGCACAGCCTTCCCCACGAGCTTCCGGCCCTGGTTCTCTGAGCCACTATCGTCGTCATCGGAGTTGCTTTCGGGAACATTCGACACATCACCTTTCCAATCCTCAAAGAGCTTTTGTTCTTCTTTGAGGTCTCTCGCATTCGCTTTGGCCGAAGAGGCACTCATTCGATCCAATCGCACCGATTTCAGTGCACCAGCAACACGCCAACTCGTCTTGGGTGTCGTGTGTCGTTTTAAACGTCTCTCCGAGCCATGCTGCGGTTCCAAGAAGTTCTAAATAACAACAAAGTCCGGATGCAAGCTGACCCCTGCGCGGCTAACCTGCTTGTGCAACTGGTGAGCACGCCTTTTTCGACTTTTCCGACGCAGAAACGAGGATTAGGTCGGTTGGAAACGCAATAAGGCTTGCATCACATGTGCAAGCCTGCCTGCTAATCGTTTGGTCTGTGTTCTATTTGCAGCATTTGGTGCTCGGGGATAGAAGCAATGTTGTGCCTCTACCGTTCTAGCGAGTGGTGCTGCACCCTGGGTTGGTTTTGCATGCTTCAAATGTTCTGACAACCGCGACCCAGCAACTCACACATCTTCTGCTGTTTCTCCTGGCAAGCAAAGGACCATCATCAACACAGCAGGAATGAGCAGCGCAATTCTTCACAAGCCTAATAGAGTCTGCATCTATCGGTGGTGGTGGTTTGACCACAGACTGTGGTGGTTTGACCACACCCGCCCTTCGTTTGTGGTTCCTACAGAGTTCAACTGCTGAACCAATACCAACGACCGCTCCAGTGCATCGAAAAGAACACAAAGCAGCGAAAAGAAGACTGATCTCCTCTGGACTCATGGCGTTGTACTCTTCATTTCTTTGTTTTTGCTTCTCTATCTCATTCATCAGCCTCATGTTCTTGTACTTGGGATCATCAGGATCCACCAGAGTCGATTCACCAATGTCCACAGGTTTCCACTCCTCATTGATGGGCTCCTCAGTTTCTATTTCTGTTGGCATGGCTTGCTTCGTGGCCATTTCGCCCTCTTCTGAGGCTCCTCTCTTTGCCCATGCCATGCCAGGCTGAGTCAGCGACAAGGCTCCCACTAGTGCGCTTCTTCGTCCAAGCGCAAGGGTGTTGTCTTGTGTCACTTCAGGTACAAAGCTAGGAGCCAGCCGTCCAATCTGCCAACATAGAAGCAAAGCCACAGCCCTTGCAAAAGAGCTGCGCAGCCGTGGCATTGATGGTGCCTCAGAATCGTCCTATTCTCAATACTTGAGCCTCAGGAACTCTGCAGCCGTTGCGTAAATGCTTTGGGGTACATTCCCAGAACCGCAAAGGAGCCAATCTGAGTTTCAGGACAAAGATTGCAAACTTCACCACACAAAGTCCAACAAAATACAGCGCTTCTCTCTCCTTGTCTCCCTCCCCCTCTCCCCTGTCCTCTTGTTTCTCATCAAAATGCACTGTTTTGCACTGATTCTGATATCGTTTTCAAAGCCCTGATCACCCTTGATCACTCTTTCACGGGCTAAAGACAAAAAGGGGAGAGAAGGAGAGAGTAGACTTTCTCTCAAACAGAATGTCCGCCACATGCAGTCTCTTGGGGCATATGAGTTGCATCCGCAAAACCCATCCCAGTTGGAGCAGTTTTAGAAGCACCAGAGATCTGTCTATCTGCTCCGAACGGCTCCCCGATTCATGAAAAATATGGATACCCCCGGTCGGAGCCTTCTCACTTTGGCGTAGTTTTGAACCTGGGTGAGTTCCGATGGCCTGCGCCGGGCTGCTGGTGCTGTTAGATGTCCCTTTTCAGGAAAGGTGCGGTTGGACGCTGTTGGGAGGGTTCCGAAGCAAGCGGCTGTCGTCCCTCTGTTTCTTTCCTGAGTGGCCCGAGCAACAGAATCATTAAGTAAAAGCTGGCTGGTAACCGTAGGCGCGATGGTTGCTATGACTGCTACGACCTCATCGTGTTCAGAAAATGGCCAGTGATGCAGGCCGGGGTGATGTTTGTCGTTCCTACAAGTCGCCAAGCCCCCGCCCCAGACATATAGAGACATATAGGCTGCATAACTATTTTTTTTTGTTGGCTCTGTAGAAGACCAAGACCATCAAGAAGAAGTACAACAAAGAAGAAGTACAACAAAGAAGCTGGCATGTTTATATTGTTGTTGCTCCTTCCTCTTAGCTTTACCGTGGCGATGCTGCACAAGACCAAGGCCAACAAAAAGCAGAGAACAAGCAGAGGATGTACCAAGAAGTTGACATGTGTACTATGTGTACTTCTTGCTCCTTGTCGAACTCCATCAGGCTGCAACATAGGGAATGCTTTGTGTTTGGAGCTGGAATGTTGTTGGATTTCCCAAACGGTGCGGCTCTCAGCTGACTGGAACAAATGTGTCCATCTCAGCAGAGGTTCTAGCGTTGTATCTGCACATGGAGGTCTTTTCGTCGAACATGACTGGACACCTCGGTTTGCACCTCCTTCGTTTCTTTCAAAGTTGGTTTTGGATGCCTAAGCCATGACTGTGGATGACCACTAAGTTCAGCATTTCACTTTTTGAGGAAGAAGGAAGAAGAAAGGAAGAAAGGCTCCAAACAAGGAATGCGTTTAAACATGTTTCAATTAGCTTTTCTCTTTTGTGCTTTCAACAGGGTGGCCTTCTCCAATTGGATTTGTGGAGGCTGGAACTAAGGCCAAACAAGGCCTCTGGCTGGAACTGGTTGAGGTGACTGCCAGGACTGGTGGCCCTATATATGTAAATATATATATATATTATGAAGCTGAGCTATGCTCAGAAATAAACATCAACACCAGCATCAACTTGTCCAGGACACAAAATGTGAGACTGTGTCCTTTTTGGCACGTGAAAAGTGGAGGCTGCACAGCTTTTTGCTGGCAGTTTGCTGCAGAGTTACTTTGAACACCATACATACAGCCGTGCCTTTTTGAACCAACCGCGGTACAGGTCGCTTGGAGCACAACCACAGCGCTGTTGTTTCCTGGTTGCCAGTTGCGGCTTTTGTAAAACAATCAGTGACCATGACCACGGGTTTCTCTCGAGATGATTGAGCTCACCAGAGCTCAGCTAGCTGTGTCGAGAAGCGACTGCAAGTTCCTCAGCGACTCAGGTGGGGGAAGACTAGGTCGACTAACTACGTGCCTTGAAAGGAACATGTGCTTGGATGTATGAAGGGACTCATGAAGACAACGAGCATGTGCGGGCCTGCGTTTTGGCACTAACATGGCATTGGAACTGTCAAATAGGTCCTCGAAGAATCGCCGTTTCGCAATCCGCGCCAGGCCACCTTTGGAACCTGGTCAGCAGCGAAGCTGCCTGGGACCTACTTGAGGCCCTTCTTCAATGCCAAGTGTCTCAGGGATGTGGGGGTTTGGTGGTAGCCGATGCTCTCTCCTGGTCATGGTCATCTCAGCTCAGGACACAGGTCAAAACAGCTGGCCACAGTTTGTGAGGTTCTGTCAAAATCATCCGAAATCTCGACGGTCCCTTCGCAGTTTTGGTCTGCATCCTCCAACGCCCCAAAACATCCCCAAACGTCCTCCTCTCCGGGACACGTGGACCACCCCGTGTCCCACGACATCCCACGACCGACCCTGCGGTCTTCCCGTGTCCCCACGACCGACTCTGTCCCCGGTCCTCCAATCTTCATCGGTCATGAAGGCGAAGAGCATGGCATCCGAGACCGTGTCGAAGATGGCCATGAAGGAGACCGAGACACCGAGGCAAATCAAGCCTCCCGCCGCCTGAGAAGGAGGCCACCGGAGGCGGACGCAACGGTGTTTTCGGCGTTTTCGCGTTCGATGGTTCGGTGGGTGTTCGAAAGACGAAAACGAAGCGAAGCGCTCGTTAAAACAAGCGACAGGCCCGACTCCGAGAGAAGTGACAGTAGTAGCTTCTTGTTACGTTCGTAGCGATGCTCTTTGTTACTAGTAGCTTCTTGTTCCTAGTAGTAATGCCAGGAGCTACTAGTAGCGTCGTATCCAAACCTTTAACAAACAACCACATTAGATATCCGCCGACCCCGGCCTATAGCCAAAGCCTAGGCGGGGGGGCGCCTGGGACACCGCAGGGTGAAGCAGTTGGCCAAGCCTAGCAGAACCCTTCAAGCACTTCCAAAGGCGCAGGATGCAGCAGTTGGCCAAGCCTAGCAGAACCCTTCCAAGCACTTCCAAAGGCCTGTCCGAGGCCTCACCAGCTGGCCGGCCTGTTGCGGCCTCTCTGTGGCCTGTCCGAAGCCTGCCTCCTCTCTTCTTATCGGCTTCCCAAAGCAACGTTTAGGCATTTTGGACCGCCTTCAAAAGCTTTTCGGCCTCTTGCGGCCTCTCTGTGGCCTGTCCGAAGCTTCTCGGCAGCCGGCAGGCCTCTTGCGGCCTCTCTGTGGCCTGTCCGAAGCCTGCCTCCTCTCTTCTTA